ATACTTGACCCTGCGCGGGCGTGAGGACAAGTCCTTGTGCATCGCTGCGCGCGCAAATCTGTGTTACGAAATGCGGCTGCTCCACTGGGAAAGGAGTGTCGACGGCCACTACAGAACAGCAAGAGGGCGCAAGATGGAAGCGTTCTCGAGGATCATGGTGGTTGAGCTCTACTTCGATCAAACCTACGTCCACTTCGGCTCGAAAGTGCGGGTGTGCGCGGTGCACCTCCACCGCGACACGGCGAAAAATTCCAGAGGCTTCAACGAGGCTCACAAGACGTGGTGGCCGAGGTTGGCGACCATCTTGCAGGACAACAGCGTTGACATCCTTTGTGGGGATTTCAACATGGCGCTCGCACAGACGCTGCCGAGTCTTCGGGGTCTAGGCATGCGATTGGAGACGGCAGCAGCGTACTTCTGGCGCGGATTGGACGGCACTCCGTGCTTGGACAGCTGCGGCATCTTCGTTCTCAACAGGCCTGGCGAGTACACCCTGTGCTGGCCGCTGAGCGCCGTGCACGACAGAGACGAGACGGGGTTGCTCTTCGCACGCAAGTCGGTGATCGGTGAGATCGGGTACCGTAACAGAAGCAAGGCAGAGGCCCCCGCAGCAGCGGGGGCCTCCACCAGCCCATCATCGCAGCCGACGTACTGGCACCACAGCCAGAACGGAGGCCCTGGGATGCCTTACTCTTGCTACTACCCGAAAAAAGACGCCCGCGAGCACCTCCAGGATTTACTGACTCAGTCAGAGGAATGCCAACGCAAGATCCAAGAGAAGGAGCGTGAGAAACTGAGGCGCGCCGAGGCTGAGGCTAGAGGGGACCACCGCTTCTCTAGTAATCGCGAGGTGACCCTCTTCCGCGCGTTGCAGAAGACGTTCCCGCCAGAGACCGTGGAGGTGGAGGGGCGCTGGCACGGCGGCGCCCACTACCCTCTCCTGTTCCAAATGCGCATGGCCAGCGTGCGTTCGCAGGGGAGGAAGCAGGAGAGAGCCAAAGAGAAGAAGGACAGGCGCGCCCAGAAACAGCTGGCAGCTGCGCTCAGGGCGCCGCTGCCGCCCGAGCAGCACGGACCCGAGCGCCAGGCACCAGAGCAGCACAGCGAGAGGGACGAGCAAGACGAGCGCGCCCAACAGGCGTGGCGCCCACCAAGATGGGCAGACGAAAGCGCGGACGACGGCCGCGACATGCCCGCGGCTGGCGATGGAAGGTCGCGGCGGGGGGTTGAAAGGGGGAGGGGGGGAGAGGGGCGGTGGGGCACGGGGAGGGCAGGAGGGAGGAGAGGGAATGAGGAATAGGCTGAGCAGGACGAGGGATGACATAAGGAAATGAGTGTCGGGAAGGGGCGGGAGTTGACAGGGAGGGGATATAGAAATAATTATTTATCACCCCCAAGGTGGCAGCCGACCCCGCAGTGCCCATCTCCAGGGCCTGCGCCGCTGGAGCAGCGAGGGCAGCGCGGCGCCGCCATCTACATCTCGGACGCGATCGCGCCCTCGGCCACGAGCCGCCAGAGCCCCCGCAGCAGCGGAGGCCACGAACGCCACGGCAGCAACCAACAGACGAGGAGTGGCGCAGGGATGAGTGGTGGCGCACCAAGGAGGGCGAGGAGCGCGAGTGGCAACAGCCGAGCGGCGAGGCTTCCTCGCTGCAGGACCGCATGGTCGACTCCGCCTGGCGCGACATGCAAGTTGCATTCGGCAGCGACCAACGCCCCAGTGACTGGTGGAGCAGCCACAGTGGGTGGAGTAGCGGCCAGGGGCACTGGGAGGTCGCGACCACGACTTGGAGGTGGGTCGAACCCCCCCCCGAAACCAATCCCTGGGAAAAACTTAGCTGAACCATCGCACAGGAGCCGCCCCTCCGCAGCAGCGGAGGGAGGCCTCATCGGCCGAACGTCGACCCTCCGCAGCAGCGGAGGCCTTGCCAATGCATCGTGAGCGGCGGCGACTCGCGCGCGCCGTCGTGCTCGGCGACCGCTGCCCGAGCGGAGAAGGAAAAAGAAACGGTGCTTTCATCGGTGCTGTCGTTGCCTCCTCTCCTTCATCGTTTTCTTCTCCCTCCCCCTCCAATCCCCCATCCCGCTATCACATTTTATCGTCTCCAATCGTATCGGGAGCTCCCGTGGCAGAAGAGCACCCAGAACGAGGTCCTCCGTGACAGAGGGGGGGGCATCTCAGACCCCCTCTGTGACAGAGGGGGGGCATATTTGACCCCCTCTGTGACAGAGGGGGGGCCAAAAAACAAATGATCACTTTAATGCGGCTTCTGGATTACTGGAGGTCCCCGTGGGGGCCTCGTGGGACCCTCTCGGGCCGTGGTGGGGGCCCTCCTGGGCGGTCTTGGGGCCCCTCTGGGCCGTCTGGTGGCCCTCTTGGGCCGTCTAGTAGCGTTTTGGGGGGCCTCTTGGTCCGTCTTGTTGCGATCTCGCAGGCCGTCAGAGCTGTCTTGAGCCGCTCTTTGCCCGAAGAGGCGGGAGTCCGAAAATCCTTCCAAAACCTACGGATTTTTCTGTTGCCTCACCCTGTCGGAGGTGCTCTGGGGAGCCTTGAGGGGCGCCTGGGGAAGCCTCGCGAGCCGTCTTGAGGCCGTAGTGGGTCGCCTCGGGGCCTCTTGGGCGCTCTCGAGCCCTTCTCGGGCTGGTCTTGACGCGGTCTTGGGCCGTTCCGGTGCTCCGTGGGACCGTCCGGGGAGCGATCTTGGGCCCACGCGGGCGGTGGGAGCGCCCAGGGCCGAGTTTATGTGCGGGGGGGCTTGTTACAAGAATAGTCGAGGAGGAGAAATACATACATGTCTGTGTATATGTATAAATATACACATATATATATATATATATATGTGTATATATATAGATATGTATGTATGTATATATGTATATGTGTGTGCATGTTATGTACCGTCGGAAATCCGTATATGTATCATTCCTCCGAGATTGTTGGCAAACTCCGAGGCTTAGCAAGAATGCGTTGGCATGTGTTTGGTCCCGGATGTGTGTTCAATCTTGTTTTGTGTCGGGCGGCGAAAGGCAGCGGGGCTGCCGCCGCTGGGCCAGCCGAAGAGCCCGTTGGGCAGGGCATTTGGCTGCCTGGTAGCCTCAGAGAGTTTCTATCCTGCTGCCTCAGACGTAACTCTCGTCAGCAATCTGTGGCGGGCGAGGGGGGTGAGTAAGAAGGAGAAGGCCTTGTCAGAAGGCGGCGGGACTTCTCTTAAGCCTTCGCACCTTCGAGAGGTTTTTTCCGTGTCTTCGGGGAAAGCTTTAAAAACTGTTCAGAAGGGCCGTGGTGGGGGCCCTCCTGGGCGGTCTTGGGGCCCCTCTGGGCCGTCTGGTGGCCCTCTTGGGCCGTCTAGTAGCGTTTTGGGGGGCCTCTTGGGCCGTCTTGTTGCGATCTCGCAGGCCGTCAGAGCTGTCTTGAGCCGCTCTTTGCCCGAAGAGGCGGGAGTCCGAAAATCCTTCCAAAACCTACGGATTTTTCTGTTGCCTCACCCTGTCGGAGGTGCTCTGGGGAGCCTTGAGGGGCGCCTGGGGAAGCCTCGCGAGCCGTCTTGAGGCCGTAGTGGGTCGCCTCGGGGCCTCTTGGGCGCTCTCGAGCCCTTCTCGGGCTGGTCTTGACGCGGTCTTGGGCCGTTCCGGTGCTCCGTGGGACCGTCCGGGGAGCGATCTTGGGCCCACGCGGGCGGTGGGAGCGCCCAGGGCCGAGTTTATGTGCGGGGGGGCTTGTTACAAGAATAGTCGAGGAGGAGAAATACATACATGTCTGTGTATATGTATAAATATACATATATCTATATAGATGTGTATATATATATAGATATGTATGTATGTATATATGTATATGTGTGTGTGCATGTTATGTACCGTCGGAAATCCGTATATGTCTCTTTCCTCCGAGATTGTTGGCAAACTCCGAGGCTTAGCAAGAATGCGTTGGCATGTGTTTGGTCCCGGATGTGTGTTCAATCTTGTTTTGTGTCGGGCGGCGAAAGGCAGCGGGGCTGCCGCCGCTGGGCCAGCCGAAGAGCCCGTTGGGCAGGGCATTTGGCTGCCTGGTAGCCTCAGAGAGTTTCTATCCTGCTGCCTCAGACGTAACTCTCGTCAGCAATCTGTGGCGGGCGAGGGGGGTGAGTAAGAAGGAGAAGGCCTTCTCAGAAGGCGGCGGGACTTCTCTTAAGCCTTCGCGCCTTCGGGAGGTTTTTTCCGTGTCTTCGGGGAAAGCTTTAAAAACTGTTCAGAAGGCCCCAGGACTTCCGAGCCTTCTGAGAAGGCCCGCCACTTTTCATTTCCCCCCCAGGCTCCCCGCCGATCACAGGTAACTTCCGTCAATAATCCCGGGCAACAAAAATGATGACGTTTCCATGTTGTGTTTTGGGGGGCGAATGGCCCATTGAAGACCATGCCCTGGTACGCTCGTTTCGAGACGCAGCGCGTGCCGTGTTCGAGCCGTCCGTGCAAACGCGCTGCGTGTTGGTTCGGCACTTGTTGGCCCGCAGCTCGGCGAGCGCGCTCGCGCCAGACCTGCGTCTTTGCCCAGCCGCGTGTTGAGATCCGTGTGCTCCCTCCTGGCCTTGATGTGAGGCCCCTCCTTCTGCCCCCCTCTCGTTCATTCAAGCCGTGCGCGGCCCGCTTCGCTTCGACCAGAAGACGTGCGCTCTCTCGACCCGCGGATCAGAAAAGTTGAGGTCCGTGTCGACGCGCCGCGGGCTGCGTGTGCTGCGCCTCGATGCATCTTCGAGGCGGCGGCGACGGTCACTAACTCAAAACAGACGCCCAATCCCAAAAACGCGGGGGTCAAGACAAAACGCAGACACCTCGAGACTTCGGGGAGGGAGATTCTGGGGTAGGATATTACCAGGGCGACGACGACGAGCGCAAAACATACCCCGAAATCTTTGGCCGATCTTCGAATCCTCGGTGAATCCGCGATTTTGGGATTTGGGATGTGTTTTCTCGTGGTCAGACGGAGGGCAGCGGGGCGGCCCGCCGCGGGGCCGGCCCGAGAGTCTCCCCGCGCGGGCGGGGCAGGCTCCGGGGCAGCACGCTGCCGCTGAGGTGCACCGCCGGCAGCCGGCACGGCGCCATGGAGGACGCGAGGCCGGCGCCCCGCGCGTTTGCCGTCGGGGGCAGCGCTGGTCGCAGGCCTGGAGGTTGACACCAACACCATGGAGTCGACGAGCAATTGTGTCTGTGTGATTTCCCCTCCTGAAAATGGGCTGGAAAGAGGTGGGTTCGTGGAGTCAGGCCCCTATATGCCGCCACGCTGGTTCCGGGCAGGCTGTGCTGTCCAGCGGAAGGGGACGAGGAGGGGAGAAGCAGGCAGACGACGACGAACGCGGCGGTGTTCCTCCACCGAGGGAAGAAGGTCCCGATCTCGGTGATGGTGGTAATATTCTGGCTTCCAGGGTGGCCGAACTATTACCGCCAGCACCGAAATCTAGGAGCACCTCCCCCCTGTGGAGGCAGCCCTCTGTCTTGGTGTTGGTGCCCATTTCCAAGCCTCCCAGCTAGCGGGGGGGGTCTCGATGCCCGTTCATGGGAGCCTTGAACGGCGACGCTGAAATCAGCCTGTTCTGCATCTGGGCCGCAGTTGGCCCCTACTGTTCTTCCTTGCCCCTCTCCTGTTCCCCCTCGCCCTCCTCGGTTGTAGCCTTTGTGAACGGGCGAATCCGGTGCAGATCCGGTCCCCAATGTGTTCTGATTCTGGTCCAGATCAGGCGCAAGTCGGACCTCGTCGGGGGCCACGTCCACGTAGGCTCGTATGAAGCGGGCACCAGAGGTAACTCGCTAGGCTCAGTGGGGAGCGTTTCGGCTTCGAGGTTTTCGGCGGTTCCCTGTGGTTGTAGACCTCGGGGTGCCTTCGCGTGCGACCCGAACGCTGGGCGGCGAGGACCCCAGCAGGGGCCTGGCTCGGGGAGGGGACTCGCAGGACACCGCCGGGGGGGAGTCGCAGGCAGCCTTCGGAGGTCCTCAGCCGTTTTTCCGGAGGGTCGCAGGCTCTGGGGGGGTCGCAGGCGGGTTTTTCCGACGGTTTCCGGGAGTTCTCCGCGGGTGGAGGAGCCTTAAGTCGGGCATGCCCCTCTACAGGAGGAATATTCAGAAATAGTCCAGAAATAGTACTCCAGATTTCGGAATTCAAAGGGAGGGGGTCACAACCCTCCCAGACAAGAAGTTTTATGACCCCCCAGACTATCCATGAAAGGGCGGCCCTTTGCCCAGACCCCCCCGAACCCTCCAAGACAGCTCAAATTAGACCCCCCCGAATGTGACCCCCCCACTTTGTTATGGAATCCGGAGTAACTATGGGGGCGATTTTTCGATATTTGTTTTGATATTTGTGTGCATTTTCTGTCTGGTTCATTTCTCTTCCGAAATCCGCCTGCAGGAGGACATGCCCGACCTAAGTGGAGCCACAGGTGGCGGGAGCAGGGCGGACGGGAATCGCTCGGTGCTCCAGCTGATCGCCTCACGATCCCCGCCCGGCGCCACGCTGGCAGGGCGGGGCCCTCGCGCCACGTCTGTGCTCCATGCCCGGCAGGTGTCGCGGGGGGGGGGAATTTCGGGAGGGGTGGCGCGAAGGCGGAGAACCGCGAGGCGAGGGTCCGTGCTCTGCCTGTTTGCAGTCTCGGCGGCCTTCTCGGGGCGAGGAGGAGGAGGAGGAGGAGGAGGACCGAGCATGTAGCCTGTGTGAAGTCTTGAAGGCCTCCGCATGGCTCGGGAAAATCCGAAGCCCGAGGGGGGCTGCCCAGATCCCCATCCTGGGGGAGGTAAATCGGTCACTGGGGCCCTGGCCGCGCGAGTGGGAATGGAGGTCGGTGACACTATGCTCAGCTTCTCGACGAAGAAGAGCACTGCATAAGCACAGACTTTCGGAACTCCCCTCGCGGATTTGTTACATCTGCGCTGGAGGCACCTGGCGGTGCCTCCGTCGCTGCCCTCGGCGTTCTTCGCGCTTCAGGGAGGGGGGTCCAGTGCCTATCCAATACATCAGCTCTGAATTCCGAAAGTTTCTGTTGATGCAGTTTTTGTGGTTATTGATGTTTCTTCTTCTGCAGACGCCGCTGCGCTTCCCTCGTTGACACGGCTGCATGGGCCTTGAACTTCTGGCCAGAGTGCGCCCCAGGAGAGGGCCGTAGATCAGCGGTATCGGTACCTCTGTGTTCCCTCAGTGGGGGTTGGTGGGGATGCAGCCCTGAGGCAGCGCCAGTCGGGGTCCAGGCAGCAGGCGGCGACACGAGGAGTTAAGGAGTTGCGGGTACGTGCTGCGACTGCGTCGGTTGCACTAAGAGCTTCAAGCTCGAGCTCTCCAGCCTCATTTACCGTTTCTTCAGCCAGATTCCAGCCAAGATTATGAAGGTATTTGTATATCTGTATATGTGTACAGATATATCTATATACATACACACATGTATGTAGTTGTCGTTGTATAGATACACACACACTGTATGTGTAATCGTTGCGATTGCCCCTGACTCTCATGCAGTTGCGAAGTCTCCTGACATGCCAGCAGGCCCGCCAAATCGTGTTCCAAGAGCCATGTGTGGTTTGTTCATTCGAGCACTTCTGGATGATGCAGCAGCCTTGCTCTGAGGCATCGTCTCTGCGCCGTGAGGACGCAGCTTCTGTGACGAGACCGCTCTTTCGTTCCACGATCGTGTCGTGGTAGCCTCACTGAGATGCCGAGCGGCTTGTCCTCACGCAAGAGTGATCGCGGGCGTTTGCCCACAGCGGCGCCCGGGGAGCGAGCGGGAAGCCACCCGGGCGCCCAGGGTGGTCGTGCACGCCCGCATGGACGCGGAGGTCAGCGAGGCACCTGCCGCCCCCCAGGGCGGGGCACCTTGCATTGAGTCGGGCATGTCCCTCTACAGAGGAAGTAGACAAACAGAGTCCAAACATAGTCAGGCCACGATTTTGTGACTATTGCTGACCATTCTAGAGCATGTTTTAAATTATTTTCATTTTTCGTTCAAAATCCGCCTGCAGGAGGACATGCCCGACCTGAACAGATCGCAGCTGTCCGCTCTCTTACTCTCTCAGGCCTGGCCAGGCCTGTGCGTCAACCTCGAGGGCTCCAGCAGGAACGTGACGCACTCTGATAACACATCCCACGAGCATGTTACAGGGCTTGCTTCATGAGTGAAGTGCTGCCGAGGGGCCCTGACTGTTCTTGCACTTATCGCGTCTTGCAAAAAAATACAAACACGACGGGAGGTTTCTCCCCGCTTTCGGTTTCCGGGGGCCCTCGCCGGGCCCCGGGGACCGTCGAGAAACGATTCGGGATGAAGAACCAACCCTGGGGACAGGGTCGGGGCTTCAGGGACCCAGCATCGACCAAAGACCAAAGCGTCGAAGCACAAGAGTTGGGTCCCCAGCCTGTAGGCCTCGGAAGGGCGCGACTCGGGCCCCAGGGCGACTCGGGCCTCTGGGGGGAGGTGGGGTTCACTTCGCTCGGGAGGTTCCGATCGACGTGAACCCCACCTCCCCCCTTGGAAATCGTGGGGTGGTGGGGTAGGGTTCGCATGTGCGCATGTGGCCTCCTAGTCTGCGCCCTGCTAGCGTCGGCATTCTCGTGCCAGTGGCCAGCTCCGTGGACAAGGGTAGGGGGGGGCGGGCGGGTATTGGCGGGGTGAGGGGGCGACGGGGAGCAGGAAAAGGAGCAGGGGCACGATTGGGAAGAGGACGACTGGAGGGAACCTGGGGGTGGTGGTACACGCCCGTCGTTGACAGTAGGTATTGTTGCACTCCCAGATCCCAATGGACTTCAGGCGCCGTCCTGCTTCAAGAGCCGAGCGGTTTTCCCTCCCTCCTATGCGGGGGCCGGGCGAAAGCCCCAATATACTTCCAACGCCTTCCTACTTCCTGTTTCTACCCACTTCTTCCGACCGGCGAGTACGTACTTGCAGTCCCCGGGGAGGCGTATTTGCCGTCCACGCGCGTGCAGCTCAGGGCCCCACGGCCAGGGGCTCAGGTTCGTGGGAAGGTGGAGGGTGGAGGAGGGGCTGGGAGGAGGGGCTGGGAGGAGGGGCTGGGAGGAGGGGCTGGGAGGAGGGGCTGGGAGGAGGGGCTGGGAGGGGGCTGGGAGGAGCGCGGGGGAGGGCGGAGGGGGCCGGGATCGGAGGGCGCAGCAGGGTCGACGAAGGGCCGAGGAGCGGCGGGCGGACCCTCAGAAGGCCGGCAGAGCGCGGAAGCAGGCCAGGGCTGTCTGTCTCGGGGGGTCGCCTCCTCCTCCTCCTCCTCCTCCTCCTCCTCCTCCTCCTCCTCCTCCTCCTCCTCCTCCTCCTCCTCCTCCTCCCGCTTCAACATCGGGTTGGCGGCGCCCCCTCGTACCCATCGACGCGGGGGAGCGATGGAGGACGAGAGGGGGGGCATGTGGACGGAAGCTGGGCGGAGGGACGGAGGAAGGGGGGGGGAGCGGGGGCGATGGGGAGGGAGGGGCCGGAAGGGGGGGGGAATGGGGGAGACGCGAGAGATCACCACAGCTCGAGCCGGGCATAAGCCCGTCAGGCGCTGTGGCTTCGAACGCCGCGCAAAGCTTCCTCGAAACACGGGAGGCGCCGCGTGCGAAACAACGGCGGTGGAATGACCCTTCTCCTGGCGCGACTTACAGGGGCCCCCGGCTGGAAAGCAAAGCGGGTATGCGGTGATCAGGCCACTCAAGGGGTCTCTCTGCGCACCCCTGACAGAAGTGCCGGCTTTGCACGCGCGTTGGCATGCGCGATGCGGAGCATGGGAAACGAGAGCGGCACCGCCTTGGGACATCCCCTGCAGCGGTCCAAGAGAACTGACGGCGGAGCAGGTGCCACTTGTTCGCGCGGCCCGATGCAGGGGGAGTGGTGCTAGCACTTGTGTGCCGCACGTTGGGCGTGGATAAAGGCTTGGAGGTTGCCGTGTGAAAGGACGCCCCCGCGGCCACTGCGGGCCAAAAGGTCTGTTGCAGGCCACTCCAGGCCGCTTGCGCTCGCTGCAACCTGGCAAGCTGTGGGGCTGACTGTTCCTGGATCTGGCGTTGGGAGATGCAAGCTGGTTGGCTCGATGATGGAGCGCGTGGATGCTG